ACTGACATTTTTATAGCATCGTTGAAATTTTTAACTTAACATACTTTACTTTAATTTCACATACTTTGATTTCATGGCGTGTTCAAGCACAAATAAATAAATAAATAATATAAGTAAATAAATAAATAGCGAAATTTGGAAGCTATTCGATCACAAACTAAAGAAACTAGGAAGCTTTGAAAATTGGCCCACCTTCTTAGTTTTTAAGCTTATGTCGAAACAATTCCAAATTTCATAGTTATGCCGAAAAAGTTTATAATCTTGCACAACATTATAACCCATAATTTTGATAAAAGAATGGATCTACTTCAAGTATTTTAGGAAAAAGTGACACTTACTTGGCCGGTTGCGGGGACCAGCGCGATTCATTGTTGCACTTGTACACAAATACTTGTAATACTAACAGCAACACACAATGAAATGGCAGGTTTAGCTCATAATTAGGAAGGGGAAGGTTGACTGAAGCAATCTCTAGCAGGATTAGAAAAACCGTGCTGTTGGTGCCAAACTGTTGCCGTTCCAACAACTTTAATATGCATCCAAAAACCACATTCAATGCAATTACATCATAATTGCCATCCCAACCAACATCTCTCACCCGATAAAGACAGCGGTAGGAAAAGCGTTTATCGCTAGCGAGTGGAAGAAGAAAATCAGAAAACTCGCTTTAACGGTTGTGTCCTGACCACAGATATAACACTTATTTTTAGCACAGCCAAAATAATATGCAAAAGTTCAGCATCTCGGTAAAGCAATCCACAACCCTTACCACCTGAGCTGTTCCTATAAGAACCCATTATATCAACCACTACGCCATCACTGGTATCAATCAGTTCGAGTTTAGGTTCAAGTTTATTACGTTTGCAAACGTTAAAAGCCAAGGAACATTAAAGGTCTACACTATAAAATCAAACGGGCGGAAGTGGTGTAGTGGCAAGTGGCACGCTTACCACGCGAGCGGTCCGGGATCAAATCCTGGGTCGTGAGTCGCCCGGGCCAACCAAGCCTTCCATCCCTCCGGGGTCGGTTAATTGGTACCAGACTTGTCTGGGAGGATAAAAACACTGACTTGTACATCGGCTGGCCCCCGCAAGTCATTGTATAGGCCAAATCGCCACTACGAATGTACAAATGGAAGTAGAATGCGTGCCGCATCCCAAAAAGGGATTGATCAACGGCAAATGCTTTATCCTTTATCCTTTACCAGATTAGTCCCCCGTCAACCGCCGGGACCTTCCTTTCCTGCGCAAGCTTTCTATCCTCCGCTATGGTCCCTTCCTCCTGTGACACCAACACCTCCTGGAAGTGACGCGTATGCAACACAATGGTGTTTCAAACAGTAGAAGGGACACAATCATGATATGATATAGCATACAATGTATGCTATACGATTTATTAGCGTTTGTTTATCCCATGAGCTTCCTTCTACTCACTTCAAATGCCACTACGAATGTACAAATGGAAGTAGAATGCGTGCCGCATCCCAAAAAGGGATTGATCAACGGCAAATGCTTTATCCTTTATCCTTTAATAATAAAATCAAATAGTAGTCATGTACCAAGCCATCTGATAAAACTTATGCACTCTTCCCAGAACATACCGCGTACGAAATTACATTCTTGATCAAAAGCTGCGTTACTATATTCATAAAGTTCACGAGATCCTTCCAGTGTACCCAGTGCTACAAATTTGAGACGTGCATTATGCTTATGAAAATTGTACTTCTCAAACAACTTCTGACACCTTTCATTCCATTCCTAGAACCGCTTAATAGAAGCTTGATTCCCTGTACCACTCTTGTACCCGTGCAAAATGCAGACAACTGCTTTGAAAAATCGCTGTATATCTACAACAATCCCCTTGCAAGCGCTTTGTTGCTGGAACTTGGGGATGTTATTCTGTGAAGGGAAATCAGCCACATGTCATCATCGGATACTACGATTTCCCTCCTTCATCAAGCTTCATCATCGTCGTCAAGAAGCTGAAGAGCTTCCATCGAAGAAGCACTGCGATATCGCTACCTGATGGTGAAAGCGTTGTGAAGCCAGCGCCGCGACCATATTTGGGCACTAAGATCCTTTTCATAATCTTACGAGTAGGCTTTTCTTGCTATACCCTACCACTCGTTCCTACCCTGCCCGGTAAACTTCTGTACAACCGCAAACCCTCCTCTACGGTTCACTGCAGTACCGCACCTGAAACTCAGCTCATCGCTAGTGTATTCTCAATCACACCAAAATCTGGCAGCCAACAACGTTACTCAGTAATAGGGCACCCTCATCGCTTCCAGACATCCTTCACAAACCTTTTTGCTCTGTGAGAGAAGAATTCAATGACCATTTACTGCTTGCAAAGACATTCGGCGTTTGCTATGGATAACTCTGAAGGAGATTGCGCTGTTTCAGTGGTTCAACGAATTTCCATGATACCCTGCACACAATAGCCACAGTACCCATAGCTAATATCCACCTATCATGGAACCATAAGCAAAACACAAAAGATTACATTTTATACTGCCTACCCGCCCGAGGCTGATGATATTGGCGAATAATTGTGTGGAGACCACCTCAACGAGAGAGGAAGGGAGAGGGATGGGTGTCAAATTTCTAGCATTGGAGAAATGACCGGTTGACCCTGCTTCCATGAGCAGTTCATTGAGACTCTGGTTCTCCAGATGGCTTACTTCTAGTTTGCTGAGACTGTGGTGAGGACTTGTATCGAGACCCCCTCTACGAGGAGGGTCGTAAAATTTCTAGAATTGGAAAATTGGAACAATGGCCGGTTACCCTGCTTCCATGAGACTTCGGCTTCCCTGACGGCTCAATACCATGCAGTTCGCTGAGACAACTCATATCAAAGGCTGCTAAATTATAATATCTACTTGTGAAACGTATCAGCCGTTTGAAATCCACCATCACCCAGCAGAATTCATTTTTTTGTCATACCCTCCATAACCACGACTGATATCCATTCTTTTATAACCTATCCACGATGAGCTGTAGCAAGAGCCTTTGTTGGCGTTGTGAAGGGCTTCAATAACAGCACAATTCTTTTTTAGGTTAGTGCTTTGCAAAGTAATAAACAAATAGGTTTTTGTACACACCATTACGAGCCCCTTTAGTTTTGCAATCTCCTCGCTGCTCATCTGTGCGCAGAGACGGAAATTATCATTTTTTGTTCCTAAA